CGAGTGGAAGTGCGATGGTCAACCACAAATTGTAAGCACCCCACAGGCACTTTTCCTACGTAACCCCTTGAATCTTTTGCCTGGTGTCGTAGTTTCTAGTGAACTCCAAAGTGTGATCTCCTCGTTCGAATCACCCCACACAAGCTTATTCATCAAACGGCGGAGCAAATAACAGTCATAACGGGGAGGGAGTTCAGTAAATATCGGATGAATCTCTTGCTCTGCTATTCGATTTAATGTGCTGTCGCCTCAGATTTCAGATGAAAAAGGGCTCCAGATATCCAAGTCGGAGATTCCGCCTACCTGATTAGATTCTGGAAGGACAGAACCGGTAACAGGCTGCTGTCAGTAGCCTTATATAGCTGGTGATGTATGAGGAAGAATCCGGAACTCTTTTGAGCATAACACTAGTTGAACTTAACGATCACCGTAGGTTTGTTCCGCTCGGACCCTCATACACAAATGGCATAATTTTAAACCAATCCAGAATTTTCAGTCACGTCACATACTGCGTCTGGATGCGTAAAATTTCCGGTAGAATCAAATCTTTGACCCTCAGAGGTAAATCCGTTGCATTGAAAGAACCATACTTCCGCCGACAGCGTGTGTCTCCACCTGTCCCTTGAAGTTCAGCACTCGCTGCGGTTCGGCGCCGCGAAGCACACTGTCGAAACTGATCTGTGTAGTATAGCCGAAATTCAAAAGTTTTAAGTATTCGCATGTTTTAGCGAATATACACTCATTTGCAAACTAATTTGGTTTTGCGACAGACTCGCCTGGAACCCAGCTGAATCTCTCGTTTGTGATGTTCTCAGGCAACCGAATGTGCTGTACCAGGCCGCCCCATGTTCCAGTCCGTAGGATATTCGAGATATCGCGATACATGTATATCTTTGTAATGTACTACTCATAAGGTTGCTGAAAATCCGTCGACAGATCACGACCGGTTTCGCCCTTTTTGGGGCTCATCAGGTAAACGCTATCCATCAAAATAATTTTACAGCTTATTTGTAACGCACTATTTATAAGTTGCTGATATCCCGAATATCGTAGCAACTGAAACATGAGGCGGCCTGGTGCAGCAAATTCGGTTGCCTGGAAACATCACAAACGAGCGATTCAGCTGGGTTTCAGGTGAGTCTGTCGAAAAACCAAATTAGTTTGCAAATGAGTGTATATTCGCTGATTTCGTGCAATTTGGTCGCAAGTAGAACATGAGGTTGAGGAACTCGAGGATTGCGACTACCTGATGAGCCCCAAAAAGGGCGAAACCGGTCGTGGGCTGTCGAGGGGGTTTCAGCAACCTTATGAGTATTCGCATGTTTTATTAAAAGCCTAGTAAAACGAAGACACATTCAGCGTGAATTATAACTCAGTTTTTGGGGTACCCCTACCAAGGAAGTAATTTGTTCGACAAACATTTGAGTATCAAGTTGGTTTCCACGGGTGACTCATCTGAAACTCGGGTTCAGTTGGATGTGTTGCACAAAAGTCGCTTCGTGTTCCACCTGGCACGGTATTCGTACATTCGTATTGAGGTAATATAATACTCATAAGATAGCTGAAGTACCCTTGATCGCCTACGACCGCTTTCGCCCTTGTTGGGGCTCATCTTATAAGCGCATTTTCCGAGTCCCCGTCACCTTTATGTTCTACTTGAGCCAATTACACGAAATTCAATAAATACACTCTGTTGCGTACCAATTTTTTTCTTCGAGAGACTCAACTGAACTGCGAAACCAGTTGGGTTTGGTTGAATAAATTTTAGCAACTATGCAATTTGTGCGTTCAGCCGATACGAAGTACTTTGGCGCTTATATGTGTCAGACTTCCCGTACTTTGCATCTTCAACAGGACACATAAAAGACACCCGTCGAAAACATCGGCAGACATTCAAAAGGGCACAAGAAATCCTCATACCTCCTAAGATATCACCCGAGCATTCCAAATTTATGAAACTATTGCCTAAGCGAGTGGGCGCTGGTATAATCTCCTTAGAAAATAAGACTGATTTTTTTCGTTTCAGAGGGGTTTGGTAAACAATCGGTGGATTTATTGCTGGGAAAAGTTCCGCTTTTGACACAAAAGCTTCGTCAGGTCAAGTGAGTAAGTAAGTAAGTTGACTGGGTTTTAGGGCAGCCAGGGAACCAATCCGTGAGATTCCTTATGACTAGCGACTTGATCAGTGCTGGATGTTCAGTCTGATGTTCCTGTTTGTTGATTAGTGGGGATGACTAAGATTTACGATAGACTGGTTATGGGAGATTCCACTATATACCACCACTGTATACCGGAAATCAACAGATAGTGGTGCGGTCTTAAACTACTCCTCTGCACATCCGAAAGCAGTGTATGCTAGCGTAGCTTCGGCGATGTTTAGGACAGTGTGAGCACTGTGTACAGAGGAGGTCGACCGAAGAGCAGCACAGCTTGAGGTAAAAAAGCGACTTCAAGATAGTGGATACCCAGTGGGCTTAATTACCCGGCAACTAAGGCGGGTATTGTTGCCAAAACCGAGTCCCAACAAGGAGTGGATCAGAACGGCGGTAATTTCATACAAAACAGGGACATCTGAAGTCATAAGAAGGGTACTGAATACGGCTAACATTAGAGTAGCTTTCCAGAAGGGGAAAATTTTACGCTCGAGGTTGGTGCATTTGAAGGATAGCCTTCCGGTTGATATGACTGGGAACTGTTTATACAAAATAAAATGTAACGACTATACGAAGGTTTATATAGGTCAGACAGCCAGGGTATTGTACACCAGAATCGGTGAGCATAAGCGTTCCATTATTGGGCCACTGAGAAACGTAGATGAATATCAAGTGATAGTCAGAGATTCGACAATGGCACCAGACACGGGGATTTATAAAATGTGGACACCTTTAGACGGGGTTTAAGATTCACACCACAGCGACTGGTGGCCGAGGCAGTGGAAATCGCCAAGCATCCCAGTGTAAATAGAATAGAGGGGATGGAGCGAGATAGTCCAAGTGGTTAGAGCGAGAATTTACTGACCAAAAGATCTGTGGTTCGAACCCAACCTCTGTCTATGGACTTCCCCTGTCCAGGCTTGGGCAACCTGGCATTATCCCAGCCCTTGTGCAATCTTCAGGTGGCATGACAGTTAGGCACCGGAGGGGTGCTAAAGCTAAACGAGTTCGATTTTAGAATAGACGGGGTAGAACTTGCAAACCTGTGGCGAGCTGTCTTAGATAAGCCGAGATGGCATGAGGCGGTGTGCAGTTATCAGCGAAATGGTCTAGGTCTAAAAGTACAAAATACAAGTAGAGCCAGATCCAATTAACCAACCCCACTCCCATCTCCAAACCAATTGCCCCGGCACCCTTTGACGAACACGGGTGAACGAAATCTACAAGCGACCCCAAGAGGAATTTTCCATTAAGGTATTTCTAGGCTGAAGAAGCACGGACGAACAATCCGGGTCCAACAAATCCTCCCCCAACCAATTTATCATAAATGTTAGTCAGCTCCACTAACCAACAAACAGGAACATCAGACTGAACATCCGAAACTGATCACGTCACTAGTCATAAGGAATCTCACGGATTGGTTCCCTGATTGCCTTAAAACCCAATCAACCTACTTACTTACTCACTTGGCCTGAGGAAGTTTTTGTGTCAAAAGCGAAACGTCGCCGAGCAACAAACCCATCGATTGTTTACCAAACCTCTCTGGAAAGTTGTTCTTCGAAGAACCAGCTAACAGTTGACCACCTGATGATACATCCATGATCAAAAGATGAAAGGGGTTATGTTTTATGAGTTACTCACACAATCGCCAACTGAAACACGAGTCGGCCATGAGCAGTTGAATAATAGCATCGCGAAAGACAGATCTCCTTTGGATTCGGTTGAGTGTCTCGTTCAAACTAAATTAGTTTGGGAAAATGCGCGTTTCTCCACCTGCGTCCAGTTCATGTGGAAATGAACGAGGATAAGGCGTCTACTTGATGAGCTCCGAGAATGGTGAAACTATTTGCTGGAGGTCGAAGCATCTTCAGCAACCTGACAGTTCCCCGTCAATAAAATAATCTGAGGCAATTTAGTGATGCTCCCATGTGTGATTACAAAAAAGCTGCACAGTTCACAACACATGCCTACGTACCATTAGTCAGGAGAAGCGAATTCGGGAGAAGTCGAGTCTAGCATAAGTGGCTAGGTGAACGGTGGTCAGGAGAAGCCGAGTCTAGCATAAGTGGCTAGGTGAACGGTCGGTAGGAGACGTTAAAACAGGCAGCAGTCAACTGCAACTGCATACGCATCGGTGCTTGCAGCTATTCACAGTACTGAATGGGGTGTCGGAAGGTCAAATGAGTGGAAACGGGTACAGTGTGGTAGGCGATGCCGAATGAACTGATCAATGTGGCTGATTCAACAACCAGGAAATGCCCAGTCATTTGCCAGTAGCCGTTAGTTGACATTCGGATCCCGAACACAGGCAGTAAAAAATGAAGTGTCACCCTTTCGCTACCTTCCAAATACTCCACACAGTGCGATTTTTCTGTGATTAACTTCCTTTGTATGTTTAGATCCGGGTCGTGCAAACAAACTACAACCATAACCTGGGAAAGAGGGAGGCTAGCAACATGGCTTGACAACTTCCGTATACAACCTGATGGTGTGGCCCAGGGTAATGAGAAAGTCGTGGGGGACATCCCCAAGAAATTCTCCCTTCTCGATGGAATATCGAGAAGAACTAGTGAAAACGTATGACGGGCAGGTCCGTGGTTCGAACCCAACTCCTGTCTAAGTATCCGCAACCTGGCAGTCCTCGCGTCTCCTTCGGGTGGCATGGCAAATAGATGCCGAAAGGCCTTTACAGCTGAACGATTTCTTTACTATCAACTAGTAGAATCAAACCAGCGCTTTTGTGACAAAATAAACTCATGGGACAGGAAAGCAAGACAACAGGAAATTCATAGTGCTTATCGATTATCGCATGAAGCACGTAATGTCATTCAAAAGTTGATATATAAAATGGTTCTTCTGGTCCAACAACGTTCTGCAGCCAACACGACTATCAGCAAGGCTTTGGGTTATCGTGCTGCCCACAAGTAAGTGTTATACCTCCAATCTGAATGCACTTTAGGTCGTGCGCGCCGTGAAGATGTTTTGCCTTAAAATCAGTCACTTCAGATCACAACGCTTTTGTCATTTGGGTTTCGGTAGGCCTTGTTCCCTGAACATGAATCTGCATACCTTTGTGCGTCTAAGTATGCCCCATCCGAACATACAACAAGTGGGATAAGCCATAAATTGACTGTTGTTTTTGTGGCAAATCACCCATGTACGCCACGCTGTGTCTAATCCAAAACGCCACGGTGGCACCGAATACCAATCAATGTGCTTCTGTCACTTGACTGATTTACGTGACCTCTTTAGCGGACACTCGCCAGACAGACTGGCAAGGCTGATGAGGAGTGGGCTGACACGTTTGTTTAGATTGGGCATCTGGACCAGATACGTTCATGCAGCACAATAGCAATCGGTGTACAAGTTGAAGGAAATCGCATGCCACGTGTCCTCAGAAGTCATGGAAATAAGCGATTCAAAACAGACGTTCACAGAAGGGGTCGAGTGATTTGAGGTCTCGGGTTCGGGGGCTATGACGATTCTCAAAAGGGTCGAAACAACTGTCAACTAATTCTTCGCACTTCATCATAGATTGCTTTCACTTACAGCACGAAAAAGCAACTGAAAATTCTCCAAACTTTCTTGAAGCTACCAAAAAAATGCCTATCTAACTATCTATCTATCTATCTATCTATCTAACTACCTATCTATCTCACCCATGTACGCCACGCTGTGTCTAATCCAAAACGCCACGGTGGCACCGAATACCAATCAATGTGCTTCTGTCACTTGACTGATTTACGTGACCTCTTTAGCGGACACTCGCCAGACAGACTGGCAAGGCTGATGAGGAGTGGGCTGACACGTTTGTTTAGATTGGGCATTTGGACCAGATACGTTCATGCAGCACAATAGCAATCGGTGTACAAGTTGAAGGACATCGCATGCCACATGTCCTCAGAAGTCAAGGAAATAAGCGATTCAAAACAGTCGTTCACAGAAGGGGTCGGGTGATTTGAGGTCTCGGGTTCGGGAGATATGCACTGTTGACGATTCTCAAAAGGGTCGAAACAACTGTACACTAATTCTTCGCACTTCATCATAGATTGCTTTCACTTACAGCACGAAAAAGCAACTGAAAATTCTCCAAACTTTCTTGAAGCTACCAAAAAAATGCCTATCTATCTATCTATCTATCTATCTAACTACCTATCTATCTATCT